TTTTCACGGGCTGGGCAAACTCCGTCGCCGCCTCCTGCGGCACCGTCAACGTCACCTTCACCACCTGCGGCGCCTACGGCACGGCCGCCTACGTCTCCTTGTGGCAGCACCTTCCGCACAAACACAAGGACACGGAAATTGACCCCTACTTCAATCTGCCCGGCTTCCCGGATTCCTGCAATTTCCACGTCACTCATCTCCACCGCTTCCTGAGGGCCGCCGACGGCACAGATCCCTGGTCCAGATTCTTCCAGCCGCAGCTTGGATCCTCCCTCGACTCCTTCGGGTGGCTCTGCAACACGGCTGAGGAGATGGAGCCGTTGGGGCTAGACATCCTCAGAAGATACACTAATCGCCCTGTCTGGGGCATCGGCCCACTTATTCCCCGAGGAATGACATCGTCCGGCGTAATCGGGCAGCACACGGGTCGTGAGCCCGGAGTGCCAACGGAGACCTGCCTCCGGTGGCTCGACTCCCACCAGCCGAGATCCGTCCTCTACGTATCATTCGGCTCCCAGAACAGCATCGGCCAGCAGCAGATGATGGCGCTGGCGGAGGGCCTGGAGGACAGCGGGCGGCCGTTCGTGTGGGTGGTGAGGCCTCCGGTGGAGTTCGACGTGCGCGGGGAATTCCGAGCGGATCAGTGGCTCCCGCGGGGGTTCGAGGAGAGGGGACAGGGACTGGTAGTGCGGGGGTGGGCCCCGCAGCCGGAAATACTGTGCCACGGGTCGACGGGGGCGTTTGTGAGCCACTGCGGGTGGAACTCGATTGTGGAGAGCCTGAGCCAGGGGGTGCCGCTGGTCGGGTGGCCGCTGGCTGCAGAGCAGGGTTACAATGCGAAGATGCTGGTGGAGGAGATGGGGGTGTGCGTGGAGCTGACGAGGGGGGTGGAGAGTAGGATAGAGAGGGAGCAGGTGAGAGATGTGATAGAGAGGGTGATGGGGGAGGGGGAGGAGGGTGAGGGGCTGAGGAGGAGAGCCGGGGAGATTAGGGACATCATAACAAGGGCTGTGGCCATGGACTCGGAGGAGAAGGAGGGCGGGTCGTCCGTTAAGGCATTGGATGATTTTGTCACGGCACTACTCTTGTCTCACCAAAAAAAACCAGATTCTGCCTCATGAGTTTTAAGAGTTCAATTAAATGCAATAGGATTTTAAGTAAGAGTTTAAATTAAAATCTCGAATGAAAACACACTCACTTGGTTGTGGTTTGTCGATTTGTGTGGACGGAATGTAGAATACTTTTTTCTTGCAATTTATCGAATATCTCATTTTACATGATTTTATTTAGGGAGATTCTATTTACGAATCATTCAGTCGGGGTTTGTAACCGTTAGATCAATTATTCACGAAAGTTAAATGATGACCTAACGATTACAAATCACGACGGAATGATTCCGTAATGGAACTATTAGAAATGTTCCCCTAACCACGGTTTGTAAGAATATGTGGCCCGAAAGCATTGGGCTCACA